CTTGTATAATCTGCTACGTTTAGAATTTCAGGGCTTCTGCCTATGGCAGTAATTATTTTCAAAGTCAGAGTTTCGACACTGTTTATTTTGACAAGGGTCAAATCACTGTTAAGAGTCTAGGACTGCACTGTCTGGTATTGCCCAGACAAACCCCTTCTCATCGTGTGCTCCTTTTGCTTCTGCAGCTATTCACAGCTTAAGTTCCCAAACAGGACAAATCCATTTAAAGGTAAGTGACCTAATTAATCAGTTCTGTTTCCATTTTAATACTTCAAAATTATAGATCAGGTTCCCAAGAAACACCCCAGGCCAAAAGTGAAAGTATATCCCTCATACTATCACCAGTTACTTATCTTTCTTTTAAATCAAGAAATAACTATTTTGCTTTAATCTCAAAAGAACCAAAGGTTCATATACTTTGAAGAAATGTCCATTTAGGGGACATTCGAGATTAAGTCACTCTTTGAGTTAAACCACAGTTAAAAGTAGAGCAAATGCACTCTTCAGCCGAGGTCAGCTATGTGTCTAGTCTCCCAGCCCAACAATGAGCAGTATAAGTGTCTCTTTTTGAGCCTCTGGTACACAGACTAGAAAAAAAATGCAAGAAGAAATAAGAGGTTCAATAAGTCTGCAAGCTAATGAAAAGGGAAGGAAGGAAGCACAGTTGGGGTTAAATTATAGCATCTGTTGATATCTTCAAGGTCAGATTCACTGAACTGCCCTCCAGATATGTTGTTCATGTGAGTAAAGTGTGTGCAAAGGTGATAGGGTAATATGAACTCCCTTCTTAACCAGTATTATCTAAAGCTCATAAAGCCAACTGCAATGGCTCAGCAGATTGTTGACTTTTAGAGAGGTCATGAGGGGCTAGCAATTACCAGAAAACTGCAGAGCAGCTGCTCTTCTACCATGACCCTGAAGAGGAAGAAGTTTCCCAACTATTCTTAACAATTCTCTCTCTCTCTCTCTCTCTCTCTCTCTCTCTCTCTCTCTCTCTCTCTCTCTCTCTCTCTCTCTCTCCTAGCCCTACTGAGCATTTGCCAATTTGATATTTCCATAACAAATAACAAATATGTGCCAGTGAGTCAAATATTTGCATTGACTATTGGCTATTTAAAGAAATGGAGAATCAACAAACATGGAACTGTATGATATACATTCCGCTATGATAATAATATATTAAAGAAATAGCTCTCTATGTTTGAATGAGAATTGTCTTTTTAACATGAAATCACCTTTATTTCTAATTTACCCAGTTTAGTACTTGGTCTTGCAGATGCATACCAGGCAATTGTCAAATGTTGTGCCATTGACACCTCAAACCCAATAGTTTTTCATCGAAACAATTTCTTTGCAGCCAACTATGTTACTACCACCTCATCAAATAAGTTTTGTTGTCACCATCTTCTTTCATTGCTGTCCAAATTTCTTCCAGAAGAATTATAACCAAATAACAAATCAGAATATTTCATGTGAATATTGTCCTGGAAGTTTTGATGATAATTGGGACGAAAATCCACCTATAATTTCAAACTTCTATAAACTAAGGCAGATAGTATTCGCTGAGAACAGAATGAAATGCTGTGCAGTTTTGCTTATCTCAATCATTTGAATGCTAATTACACAGAAGATTTAAGAATTTTTTCTTTTTAATATATTAGGAAATTATAGAAAGTGTATGTCTCTGCCAAGACTGACTATTTTAGACTTTTAGCATTTACTCTGATAACCACCCAGATTCTCTCTTTTGCCTGTCATCCTTGTGCTTCTGTAATGCTGGGAGTGGGTGAGCAGGAACTGTGAGTAGGCAAGAAGAGGAGTCTATAAAGGAGACCTATTTTTGTTATTGAAATAAGCTAGAGTCATAGTTTATTGGTTGGATTAAAGGAGTCTAAGCAAAAGCATGGGTAATGTGTTCAACATCTACCACCCTCTGCAGTGACAATGGCTTCTATTAATTTGTATCATGCTCACTGCCTAGCAGTATCAGATACCCAAATACAGGTAGATTAACTTTTTATGTTGAAGGACATATTCAGCAAGCCCATTGGCTCTTGTGGCTGACTACCTCTGATCTGGAAGACAAAGGAGTTTAGCAACTTCTAAACAGGAAGTCTCATTTCTGCAGATTGCTAAATAAGTGGTCCTGTCGTATCATTCTTGATGTATCATTTTTATCACAACTAAGAAATATAAGCTCATTACATTAAAATATAATGAGAAACTAATCCTCTGAGACAGTTAAAAGAACTATAATTAAATAGGGTAATTGGGCAAGATTAAAAATTGTATCTTTAAAAAAATGACTTAACAGAGAGTTTGATAATCATTGTTGCTAGAAAGTTGGCAAAAGGATGTGCCTCATCCAAGAATCAAGTCTAGATGGAGTTCTTGTCATTGTACGTCCTTGAACTTCGCTATTAATGATGCAGAGATATATGATCTGGAGGTTTCTTATTTCTTTTCTATTTTTTCTATAATTTAAAGTAGATTGTTTTCATACAATATATTCTGATTATGGTCTCCTCTTCCTCTACTCATCTCAGTTCTCCACATTCCCCCTCCTATTCATATCCACACATTTTCTGTCTCTCCTCAGAAAATGAGCAGCAACCTACAAAAAGAAATCAGAATAGAATAGATAAACCAAACAAATCAGAATATGACAAAACAACCAAAAAGGAAAATATCCAAAAAAGCACAACACACACACACACACACACAATGTTCACACAGTCAGAAATCCCAAAACTGGAAACCATTATATATATGCAAAGGACCTATAAGTTAGAAAGGAAAATAATTATTGGACAACATTATAACACCAATAAACTCCAAAGATACTGTTGAGTTCATTTTGTGTTGGCATTTTATGGCTGGGCATGAGGCCTACCCTTAGGAGTAGTTTGTTCCCCTAGTGAGACTTCCTAGAAGAAAACTAAATTTTCACTTGTAAATGGTTATGAATTTGAGATAGCTTATGGTTAGTGATGGAGGCATGTGCCTTTATCCCCTTTCAACTCTAGGATCCCATCTGGTGTAGACCATAGAGGCAGGCCCTGTACATGCTGCCTCAATCTCTGAGTTCATATGTACATTGGTCCTGTGGATTTAGAGGGCCTTGGTTTCTCAAGCCCCTATGTCTCCTAAATTCTTCCCCCCTCATCTTCTACAGAATTCTCTGAACCCCAGGGGGAGGGATTTGATGCTGGTACCCCATTTAGGGTTTAGTGTTCCAAGGTTTCTCACTCTCTGAATATTGACTAGCTTAGGTGTCTATATTTGTTCCCATCTGCTACTGGAAGAAGCTTCTGTGATGATGACTGAGTAGAACTTTATCAGGACTCATTTTACTGTTACATTGCCTTAGCAGACATTAGTATTTGGTTTTACCCTTAGATCTCTCTCTTATTTAGATTAGATTCTTGACCACTCAGTGTTGGGTATGTGTTCTATCAAATGGAGTGCGCCTTAACTCAATCAGATATTGTTCAGTTATCTTACAGGCTGGTTAGTCTTGTAGAACAAAGGGTTGGTAGCTGGGTCAGTGTTTATGTTTCTTCTTTGGTAGCCTGCAGAATAGCTTCCAGCACCATGAATACTAGTCCACAGAGGTTAAGGCTCTAAATAGGGACTAGCTCAACTTCTTCATGTTCATTGAGTGTGTAGGTGTTGTCTTCAACAATAGAGCTTTACTGTCAGTTTATAGAGAGCCACCAATAGCCTTGGCAAAGGCCTAGACTGTTTGGGGGTTCCTAGGGAACCCCTTTGACAAACAACTCAATTATATATAACCACTTACAGGTACTGAAAGCTTCATTTGGTTACAACAAATGTTCAGTTGGGACTCCATCTCCCACATTATTTGGTGATATCATTTTGATCACCTTCATATGTTAGGTTCTGAGAGAAGCTCCCAAGAAAAGATCAGCAGTCATGTATGCAATAAACAAGAGTGCTTTATTAATTCCAACATGTTGAGGTGGCACATGGCAACCCCAGAAGAAGCCCACAAACTCTTTTTAAACTGGGTTAGGGGAATTCCAGGGAGGAAAGATTAGTATGGGGGCTGATTTATGGCTTTACATAAAACAGTTTAGGGTTGCTATAGGAATGGTTGACAGCTTAGTGGTTAGGGGCCTTTCAGTTTTAGTTCTCTTAAGCTTGCAGTAGGTTGTGGGGCACCCTATGGTAGGTTGCCCTGGATGGCAATTTTTCCAAGAACTTCTTGCTCAGCTCCAGCCAGTTCCAATAAACTGAAACTAATGTCTGGTCCCTGGTAGGGACCATTAGAAGCCTATCCTGGCTGTGGTCTGGCTCCCTGGCTCTCTCTCTCTCTCTCTCTCTCTCTCTCTATATATATATATATATATATATATATATATATATATATACTCAAATGACCCTTAACATTCCCTCCCCGTATTACCTCCCATTCCCTTGTCTTTTTTTTTTTTTTTTTAACTTCATTCCTGTCTCCTCTCCTTACCTATCTATAACTATCCTATTTCCTGGCATGGAAGACTGTAAGCTCTGGTCCATCTCTAATTTTCTATGAACCATCTGGAAAGGAGTGAGGCAGTGAACTCTCTTTAAATCTCCCTGAGTAGTAATCTAGACTTTTCCCTCAGGCCCCAGGATGTGTGAAACAGTGAATGTACCCAAGATACCACAACATAAAATGAGCGGTTATTTTGGGAAATATAAAACTAAATGTCTAGCAATTATAAACTACATAATTTGCCTTGTGTATTATCACTACTTACTGGACTATAATGGAGGTTATAACTCTGTTAATTTTTATCCTAAAATCTTTAAAAATAACACTTATATGAATTCACTTATGAATTTATGTGTTGATTTGCCCCATGAAAAGTAGAGGAAGGGAAGTGTTTTCTATAATCACTTGTGTCAATAATTCAGCATTACATACACAGTTTTATCCCCTAAAAGCACTGAATATCTATACTATTATTTGATTTCAGGGCCTGGGAATTGTTGAAGCATGGTCAGCTATCTCACCTTGTGCTTCATTTTACTAATCATATTGACTGACAAGAGTGAAGCCTGTTTTTGTGATCACTACCCTTGGACTCGCTGGTCCAGCTGTTCTAAATCCTGCAATTCTGGAACCCAGAGCAGACAGAGGTGGGTATGGGACATGAGTCCTTTGTGTTCTGAGGGAACTCAAGGATGGAATATATACAGATCATATAGATCATACTACACAATAAAGGACCACTATATGAGAACTGACAAAATTTCAGTTCTGTCCCAAATGAAGTTAAAATAAAATCTACTTTAGTTCATTCTACAAAATTAAAGATTTTCCGAGAAATTTGATTCAGTTAGTACATGTGATTTAATTATAGGTTTTTATAGTAATTAAACAGAACCAAACAAGACCTCAGCTGAGCAGCACTGCTAGACATTTGCTTCATTGTTAGCATCATCAAGATTGTAAGGAAACTGTGCTTACTTTAGTATTTAATAATCCAGTCCTATCACCGTGCAGACTACTCACCTACACACCTTATGCATCTATGAATGTTCTGTGTAGTGGAAGTGCTCACATGGCTTATGCAAGACAAGTGTTTTTGTTGTTGTTTTGTTTTGTTTTTACTATTGTATCTCTTTTAGAGAATTATTTTGAGAAAGTATTTCTGTGAATCTAATTAAATTCACCAGTCCATGAAGTATGAGAAGAGACTCCACTATTCAAGAGTTCTTCTGAGGTTCTCAACTGCCTACTAAAGAGAGCATCCTTTCAGTCAAATGTAGTCAACCTCTTCCCCAGATACTCAAGCTCCTTTAACCTCTAACTTCTTCTGCCCTTTCTTTTTCTACTTAGGAAATTTATATGAATTTTGTGAATTTATCTCCCTTATGTCAACATCCTAACTCAGCTCAATCATTGTATTTATGTGTTGACATCTTTCAAATGTGGGGTAATTCATGAACAACCTGTACAGCCACTGTACACTTGGAAGGGCCTGTGACATGGCTTAATGATCTGCCATCACTGGCTCAAAACTTGCTTTGAACTCCCATTTTTATCATGGTTCTGAGCTCTGTTAAATTGTATAATCTTATATGTAAACCAACCTTCCTGATTTCTCTATGAAAATATTCTTTCTTTAGTCTTGGTAGGTAATGTTACATGATCAATCTGTTTGTTATCAAATCAGTTTTGTTGTCAATTTGAAGGCACTATGAAAGCACAAAATCAGAGTGGCTTTTCTCACTGTTACAGGCAAATAGAAGTTGATGATTACTACCGGCATAACTCATGTGACCAATTTTGTAACAAGCAGGAGACTAGAGAGTGCAATGTACAGACATGCCCTGTCAACTGTGTCCTTGGAGACTATGGGCCATGGTCAGACTGTGACCCTTGTATTGAAAAACAGGTATGGGAACCACAAAGCATACCCAGATAGTCTGAATCACACATGTATTCCATGGCAGATTCAACATCAGACATGCTAAACCTTTTTAATTTCTGAAAATAAACTATTTTAGTTTTCATTAAAGGAAACTTGTGTTTAGTTTTGTGTAGGAGTTATGGTGGTGGTGGTGGTAGTGGTGGTAGGGTTTATTTTATATGACCTTTGACCACATGAACACCAAAAGGAAAGTCCACCTCTGACCGTATCATACTTAGTTGTATGTGAATTCCACTGCCTATGCCTCCTGAGACTTCTGAAAGCAAAAGTAAATGCTAAGAAATTCAGCTTTCATCCGGTGCTTAAAACTAAACAGAAATAATGGAAATAAATCAAAATCCTGGCTCTATGCTTTTCCTCTAAACTCTGTCTACCCTTGGGAAAGGTCCACAGCTTGTTTATTTTCCCAGCTGCAATATTTACCCGTTTCATACTCTTTCCTGCAAAGGCCATATCACATGACCCATGTCAACTTCGGTCAGAGTCCTGTTTTCCCAACAGCTGCACATGAGAAAGGAAAAAGAAACTCATTTGTAGACACTCTAAGAGTTGTGCTGAGTCCCTTCCATAAGCCATACAAACTTCACACCCCTGTGTCTGTTTGTATGTTTACAGACATAAATGTTCCAGTTCCTTTGGGGCTAAGTATTTTGAACAAAGATGTACCACTAATTAATAATGGAACTGTATTTTGAAGTCAAACTTTTCTACAACTAAAGTCAGAACTGGTTAATCCTGTCATATTTCTAGTCTCTCTCTCCATCTTACTCCTCATCAAAATGTTTCAAAGTGTGAAGAATATGTCAACCCAGTTTCCATAGTGACTTTCTTATGCAAAGGGATCTCAAAACCATTTCCCATTTATCACTGTACACTGCCTGGGATATAAAAGGGCTACTTTATTACCTACACAGAGGGGAGTCTCAGCAATCATTTTTCATATGATGTTGGTATAATTTAGACTCCTGTGCTTTCAGAGAAAAAGCTCTGGAAGATTTTTGGCCCAGTTTTTCATTTTGCAGGTTGGGAAACTAAGGTATATCAAGTGGTGACTTACCAAATATATGCAATAATAAAGTGTTAGTACATTTTAGGAATTGTCACCATGGAAATGATTATAACTGTGACTGGGAAAGCCATTGGATGAACTTTCACTTTGACCTTTAACTTGCTTTGAAATTATTCACCCTCCTCTATTTTTCTTTCAGATTAAAGTTAGATCTGTCCTGCACCCCAGTCAGTTTGGGGGACAACCATGCACAGAACCCCTGGTGACCTTTCAACCATGTGTCCCATCCAAGCTCTGCAAAATTGAAGAGGCTGATTGCAAGAATAAATTCCTCTGTGACAGTGGTAATATACTCTGCTAAAATATTCAGTCTCCACTAAAAATACTAAGTTCCAGGAAAGCTATGAAAAAAAGTGTCCTTCCCCACTGTAAGCAGTTACACTACACATTACCAAGGCATATAGGTGTAAAATTACAGCTTTCCAGACATAGCCACCTTGACCAGTTACCTGACTCATTTGCCCAAGTAATAGTGTTCAGAGCCTTACTTTGTTATAGGGGTAGAGAGAAAGAGGACAACAGGAAAAAAAATACACAGGCAGGTAGTTTTAAAAATGGGTATTAGTAAACACAAATCTATAATGAGGGTAACTGAAAAGAAGTGAAAATTTGGGTGCCATAAACATGGTTTAGTGGATAAGGGTGCTTGTCACCAGGACTGACAACATGAGTTCAATACCTAGAACCCCTAAGATAGAGAAAACTGACTACTGTTAGTTACTCTGGCCTCTGCATGTGTATATTGCATGCACACACACACACACACACACACACACACACACACACACACACACACACATCAAATTAATAAACATAAAAACTAAGTTAAATAACAAGAGACAGATTAAGATATATTTTAATTGTTAGGAAAAGACTACTGAGATATTACTAGGTCAGGTGAATTCTAAATAATATAAATTTCCTGATTGGCTCCAAAGGCTATCTCCATCCCACAACAATGACATATCATATTAGTTTACATGTTAGTAATATTCAAGTATAATATATCCTGAGATTTCCAAGAACTGATATTTAAATTATATTAGAATATAGTAAAATCTTGATTAGTTTATTTATAGGTATTCATCTGTTAATTACTAGCTCATTAGCTCCCACCACTTTGGACAGTTCAGATCCAATTTCTACAAATGCTTTAGTAAACATCTAAATGGCCAATATCGGCTTTATGGTCCATGTGATTTATCTTGTTATCACTCAGCTGGCCCGTATCCTCAAACCTGCTATATCAACATGTGAGCATGGATGTATTCCAGGAAAGCTCTATTTACAAAATAAATGCAGGCCAGTTTTAGCATATGAATCACAGTTAATTGAACTCCCATGTAAATATCCAACTTGCATTTAGAAAACAGAGAGAAATTCAGATAGATAAACCCCACATTACTCCTGTACACTCTGGATATACAGAAAAGTAACAAGCCAATTTTAAATTCCATAAATAATCAACTTAAGACATTAGGACTAAAATCCTTTCTTCCTTACACACTGCTTCCAACCTTTATCTTTGCAAGCTTTTTCTAAATATAGATGATAAATGCTGATGTCAGGGTTTTCCTAACCCAGAAAATGAGGGTAGATGGTGAGTTGGGAGGGATACCTTGTGCCCCAATGATGAGGTCACATCACAAAGTAATGTAAGCAGGAAGATAATACAAACCATGGTGGAATGGCTTTGAGTAAGCCAGAGATGCACATTAAATCAAAATTTACAACTGAAGGATGACTATTTCAGGCTTCAAGTATAGTTATTATAGTGAACAACTAAGAGAAATTCTGTTCAGCAGATAATAGACCTATGAAACTAGTTATAGAAGAGGCTGGTACAGATAAAATGTTCATAAGCCTGCAAAAGCCTTAAGAATCACATACTGATTACTAATACACAATGGCTAATTTCAGGCAAGTCAGCAATAGCAGCTGCTGGTTTCCAGGTCAACGGTGCTATATCCACAGCCACCGTTTAAAAAAAAAAATGGTAAGATGGTTCAGTGGTTTGATTACCAGAGTTCAATCTCTGAGAATCACATGGTGAAAAGAGAGAACCAGTTCCTACAAATTGTCCCCTAACCACATGTACCATCACACTCCAATTAAAAATGAATTAAATAAAATGTAATAAAATTAATAGTTAAAACATCCCAATTATTACAATGTCTGTTATTGTTGCTAAGCTGCTGTTACTCTGAGCTCTGAGCTGCCCAAACCATGTTATCTTTAGCCTTCACTATCTTGATATTCCAGCTACCAATTGGCAAATCCCTGGCAACAATGTGGTTGTCATCCTTTTGGATTGGGTGATGTGATGGACTTTTTGGTTGTTTACTGTTCCATTGAAAATGATATGCTACTGTATTCTCCACAAACCACCTACTATGAACAGTAGTAAGAGAGGTTGAATGGACATCATTTGTCTGATTTGAGATGGCACTCCCTTAACTAACAAACAATTAGACTCATTAGACAGGATACCTTACATGACATTACATGACAGCCTTACCTGGCATTAATTGAAATTACTATGCCAACCCATCTCTTGGGGCTCTAATTTAAAGCACCCAATAACATATCTAGTTAGTCATTCAGATATTTATAAAATCATACACAATCACAATAACATATTCAGTCCAATTAGAAGAAAAGAATGTATACAATTTCTGAATAACTCTATGGCTGTAATTAGCAATCCTCTTATCCACAAATTGTTTTTGTGATTACAATCACAGTCTGATATGTTAAATGAAAAAATTCTGGAAATAAAGAATTTTAATTTTTCAATTCCGTGTCAGAGTAGAATAAAGAAACCATGTGTCACCCCACTCTGTCCCTCCCAGGATATTTATCACCTCTTTTCATAGCATACACAGAACATACACTACCTGCCCAATGTCTCCATTATAAGATCAATACGCCAGTGAGCTGTAGCAGTACACCTGTTTATGAGCCCTTATTTTACTTATTAATGGCCACAAAATACAAAGATTGTAGCAGTGGCGATTCATGTGAGTCACAGAGAAGTATAAAGTGCCAAGGTGAAAGTTGTCAACGTTAGGAAATCAAGAAAACCATATGCTGAGGATGCTCAGACCTAGGGTAGGAGTGGAACTACTAGCCATGTACTTGTAAAGAAGGGAATGTAAACTACCACTATCTTTTCTGTCACATATCAACCAGAGTTTTGCTTAAAGTGTATGACAGATGCTTAAGATGGACAAGATATGAAGTAAAAGGTATAGTGTTCCCTGCAGTCCAAGGCATGGGAGGGTCTTAAATATTGTTCCTCACAGATAAAGGAATGTGTATGCACTAACCTCAATAAATTCTGCAGCATTCAAACTTCCCAACCCCCTCTTTGATATAGGCTATATTAATGGCTTAAAATGTCACATCTTAATACTTTGTATTCCACTGAGTCAGTATTGCTTATAGTCATTCTCAGCTTGCCTACCAAATGTCACTCAAAAGGAGTCTTCTTTCATCTCAGCACATATAGACAGGCCTGTTCTGATGTCTAGAAGTGTCAAAGCTTGGCAAATAAGAACTGTGTGTTCCAAAAGTATCTATATCACTATCTAGGAAAATAGAAAGTCCTAAAAGGAACCACTAACCAAACTGGATCTTCCTTTAATCTGGTAGGACCAAGGATAGAATTTTAAAAGTATATCATGAGTCAAAATGATACTCATCTTTGTTTCAAGTTAAATAAACTAAAACAAGATTTATAATACACAAAAACAAAAACCCTAGAGAGATAGTTTCCTAAAAGAAACCTCTTCTAAGCTATGTCTTAAAATTGACAAAAATCCACCCCCATCTTTCAGTTTTGTATGATTATGATGCTAGTCCTGATAATAACAGATGTCTGAACATAAGACAAGATCTTGAATAATCTAAAGAGTCATTTTGAATGTATTCAGCCTTCTAAATGAAAATGATTAACCAAAAGATGTGAAATTAAGTGTTTTCAGGAGTCTTTTGTAGCAATAAAATTTTTAATTTAGCAGATACTCAAGTCCCCCCCCCAATCATTTATTTAGTCAAATTAGTGACACATGGCTGTAAGTGTGACACTGATCACAACTTTAACTTGTCAAGCGTGTAATCTTCAGTAAGAAGTATATGATATGACTGCTAAATATCTGGCTTCTTCCACTCAACATAAACTTTCAGAGATTTGGAAATGTATTGTTTGCACAAGTAGATTGCTTGTGTGCATATAGTTATAATATTTTTTAAAACAAAAATAGTGTAGACTCTGCCATAGAAACCAAAACAAAATTCTCAACCTACTGCTGACTTTTCTCAAATCAGTATCTCTACAGAAAGCTCACTATATCTTAATTTTAAAATTCTAGTCTTCAAACAAAAAACGGAAGAGAAAAAATGTCTTGAAAATAGCCCAATAGAAACTACATTGTCCTATGGTGACCCTTAGACTTTCGGGCCCTAGAGGTGACATCAGTTTATCACTTCATTTCATACATTCCTTTAGCTTACCCTCAACTTTCTCTTTATTTCTAAAACATTTGTGCTTCACCTTAATAACTACTTCCCAACTAATAACATGTTGGTGATGCTGTGGTGTGCTTTCTTGACCAGGGCGCTGCATTCCCCACAAATTAGAATGTAATGGAGAAAATGACTGTGGAGACAATTCAGATGAAAGACACTGTGGGAGAACAAAGACAGTATGTCCCCAGAGATACTATCCCATCCCTAACGTGCAGCTGATGGGCACTGGGTACGTAACATCTTGTTTTCACTTGGGGACAAGAAGGTATTCCTGAAATAATGAGAGGAACAACAACAACAGACACTGCACAAACTCATGGAAAATAAACAGCACACTGTTGAATGATGTTTGAGTGAATGAATAAATTGATCAGGAAAAAGAGAACATAGCTTATGTTTATATTATGAGTCAAAAATCCTAACAGGAAATTCTCTCTTTTTGGTATGAGAGGGTAAGACATAGTAAATAATGGAGAGAGAGAGAGAGAGAGAGAGAGAGAGAGAGAGAGAGAGAGAGAGAGAGCTCCTCATCACCTTCAAATGAGAGAATCAAATTAGGATCAGCACTGGGCTCCCCCTCTGTCTCATCTTCATCTTCATCAATGCACTGGCCTACCTTGGTCATGTGGCAAAGAGTCAGCATTCCAACTGGGAAGCCTGCACCCTCTGTAGTTTCCCAAGCAGCTTTGACTGGCCCTCTCCCACCTGGCATTCTCTCTCTCCTGAAGTCTAGTGGCTTTTTCCTTCTTCCCTTTTCTTGTATCTTAAGGCAGAAAACCCCCTCCTTCTCCTCCTCTCCTTATTGTTTTGCTTATTTAATTCTGATATTAAAGTATTCAAAACAAAAATAAGAATAAATAAGGGAGGGATGGGAGGAGAAAGGGGGAGTAGTTAAGCAGTCATAAAAAATACAGAGCGATTAAAACCAAGTGAAAAATGGAGTAAAATATGTGTCAGTGCAGCTAAGAATCCTCATAAATGTGATTTATGAGTTAGTCAGTGGTTTACAGGCCGAAAGATAGCCTTATGTTATCACCTGCTCTCACCTTAATGATGAAAAACTGAACTTCAGAAGATTTATTTAGGTCTGCCAAGCAATGAATGGTAGAAGCAGAACTCAAGGCCAGATTCCAAAGCCAAATTTGAAAATACTGAAAGATACCAGGGACCATGCAGCCCTTGTTGAATAGGACTCAAAAGTCCTAATGTTGCTATTTCAAAAGGGCACTGGCAATTTATCAAGGGGTCTAAATTCCAATGCCCACTAATGACCACAGCGTTTCTTCCTTCCTTCCTTCTTTCCTTCCTCCCTTCCTTTCTTTCTCTTTCATTTGTTTTGTTTTGTTTTTGTTTTTGTTTTTTGAGACAGGGTTTCTCTGTATTGCTATGGAGGCTGTTGTGGAACTAGCTCTGCAGACCAGGCTGTCCCTGAACTGCCTCTGCCTCTCCAGTGCTGGGATTAAAAATCATGCACCACCAATGCCAGGCTCAACCTCAGTGTTTCTAATTTTCTCGTTTTCAAGTGTTTGTAACATTCTGACTGATGAAGGGGACATTACAAGTCATGTCCTATTCTGTGGGTCAATCTCCAGAGTTACAGAAGAGGAAGACCACATGCTATGTGTACTTTGGCAGGCAGACTGTGTGACCTTCTGACAACCAGAACTGTTGTCCCGAAGATTCTTAGAAATGATCAGAGGCTGAACACTTGAGGATAGCCAGTCCTCTCTTTTTCTCCCCAGGGAGAGAGTCTTGAGATTTACTATAATTTCTTTTTAATCAGCTGGCCGCAGCAACTCAGCCTCCTCTCCCTTTGCATTCCAATATTTTTCTGCCTACAAAAGATATCTTCTTACGTGTATGGCTGTTTTTTTTTTTTAATTACATCTTCCAAGAAAAAAAATGAGCAACACTTACGTTCCCAACATCAATCACTATGTCTCACACCTAAAGCAAGAATAAAACAATACAAACATGTGGCTTGCTTTTTATCAGGCTCAATCAAGGTGTACATACAAATATGTTTGACCACTAGTACAAGGCCACTTTCCAAGCACATGTGAGACTCCAGTTCTTCCAGCCACCCCCAAAAAATCTATACAGCAAATGAGATAAAACAACACTTTAGAAAGCTAAAGTAATTATTGTCAGTATGCATTTAAAACACACAAAGGTATGGGGTCAATTTAAACATCTCAGAGGAGACTGAAAATAGAGGAACTAGAAGCCTCTACATGGTTGGTTTTGCTTTGAACAAAAAACAACTTTGAGAAAAAAGGGTTTAATCTAGTTTATATGTCATAGTCCATCACCCAGGGAATCCAGGATAGGAGCTAAGGGCAAGAACCTGATGGCAGGAACTGAAGCAGAAATCACAGGAGAATGCTCTGCTTGCTGCCTTGCTCCCTCCAGCTCACTCAATTTCCTGCCTTTCTTCTTTCCTTCCTTCTTTCCTTTCTTCCTTCCTTCCTCCCTTCCTTCCTTTCTTTTTTTTAAAGGCTAAATCAAAGCAAGCATTATTTGGTACATGCCTGAGGCAGGCTAGCAGGTCAGGCTCCACCTAAGAGAACCATCCCCAAGCCAATTTCTCCTATCTCTTTTATATGGCAAAGTCATAGAGAGGGTGGGGGATTTTGCAAGCAAGCCTGGTTACAGAAGTGAGATGAGACAGTTAAGGAAATTGTACTGGAACATCTGTTTTATGACCTTCTGTCGTCATGGGGTGAGGCACAGTTTAATCCTGAGACCCAGAAACTTAAAGTTGTATAGTAAACAAAACTTAGCTGAACTTGGGTATCAAAATGGCTCTTCCTAATTAATCTCACTACCCCAGTCTCTTTGTTTGTTTGGTGTGTGTGTGAGTGTGTGTGTGTGTGTGTGTGTGTGTGTGTGTGTGTGTGTGTGTGTGTTGGGACAGGGTTTCACTGTGAAGCCCTAAAAGAGGAATTATATGAGATCTCCTAGGTAAACTGAGGGTGAGGGGGATGGTAAAGAGAAGGGGATAGAGGATCAGCTACATTTCTTATACAGCCCAGGCTCACTTACCTAAACACAGCATTGTTCACAGTAGACTGTGCCCTCCTTTATCAAATAGCAATTAATCAAATGCCATCCAGCCACAGCCACAAGCAAATCTGATCAGAGAAATTCTTCTGTTCAGGTTTCCCCTTTCCAGGTGACTTCAGGTTTATGTAGAGTTGACAGCCAAATCAAACCATGGCAAGCTTCAAAAGATTCCTTATGCCTACTCTGATGGAGCAGCCTTCATAAAAATCCTGTCTTTAAACTCCACAAGCTGCTTCATAGATTCCTTGGGACCAGGGAGTTAGTTTTTTTTTTTTTTTTTTCCAGAGCACCTTCTCATTGGTTATGAATTTAGGTACATAGCATAAGACAGTTCTAAGAGAACCATTCTTTCCACTCCATGCAACCCTCTTAACTTAAAATACGCAAATACACGAGTTACAGACACTTGTGCTTGTCCTGTTGAGTAGTTTAGAAAGCTGCTCTTAGATCAACTTCTGGTAATTCTTCATTAAATTCCCACTGACATAAATTCAAATGTGAATAAATTCAAATGTCAAGTTGTACTTGGAGCAGTTGCTATGTATCTTAGAGAACCCATAGAAACCATTTCTTCTCAAAATAACATATGATATATGATATAATTTATATTCATCATGCAATTCAACCATGTAGAGCATACATATTAGAAATCGAGCAAAATAAATATCATGGGTTGCAGGCCACATTGGACTACAATGCATGGTTCTTTTGAAAATAATTTGCAAATCTATACTTTCTTATTATACTCACAGATTTATGTAGCCTTTACCTGGATATAACTTTAGAACATTTTTTACTGGTTTTTCAGAATGGCTGCAACATTTTATGTTTTCATTGTTATGTGTGATTAAAACATCAGTCTCTCTTCAGTTTGCCCACATTTTTATTTTTTAATGGAGCAAAACTTTAATTACTGCCAAATGTTGGAAGCATGTTACTGAGGAAATCCTATTTCAAATATGACACTCATTTATTTCAAATCATTAGTGGCACTTTCTGATTTCTAAAATATTATGCATGTATTTATTTAGCATGTGTGTGCATGTGTGTGACTGCGCATCCATGAACCACAGGCTATATGTGGACATCAGAGGACATCCTTCTTGGAGCTAGTTCACTTGTTTTACCTAGTTTGGAAGCCGTGTCTTGCTTATTGTTTCTGTTGCTGCACCGCAGACTCCAGGCAGGCTATATGGAGTTTTGAGTTAACTCTCTTATCCTTATTTCCTATCTCACATTAAGAGAATTGGAATTACAGATGTGCACCACCTCACATGAGTTCCAGGGATCAAACTCAGGTCCCCAGGTCTTCTGGCTTGTTTAGGAGGCACTTTTACCCACTGAGCCATCTCGCTATTTTTAATGAACCCTTTCATTAGAGCTATCTATCCTGGTGGGTGTGAAATGACAACTCATTGTGGTTTTGATTTTTATTTCCTGAATGATTCACAATATTGAGCATCTTTTCCTGTGCTTGTTAGCTGCTTCTGTATGTTCTTTAAAGAACTACCAATTCAGATGCTTTGATCCCTTGCATACCATGAACTAATATGTTCTTTATATCATTGGGTTATCAACACTCTTTCACTCTTTGTATATTCTGATTATAGGCTCTTCAGCAGATAGGTAATTTATTTGTAAATAATTTCTCCTATTGGATGGCTTTTGACATTTTGATGTTATCCCTTTAAATGTAAATGTTTGAAGTCAGGAGAGAGAGAGAGAGAGAGAGAGAGAGAGAGAGAGAGAGAGAGAGCCCGAATGATTTTATGTGCATTGCATGTACGTGGAAGCCGATGGAGACCAAAAAAGGGCATTCCATCTTGTAGAACTTGAGTTTATGGGTAGTTATAAGATGCCATGTGGAACTACTGGGAATCAAATCTAGGTCCTCTGCCAGAGCACTAAGTGTCCTTAAAGACTAAGCTATGTCTCCTGCCCTGAAGTATAATTTTTTAATTCTGATAAACTCTCATATATCTACTTCTTCTGTTATGTATGTTTTTAGCATATCATCTACGGAGACTTTGCCTATATATAAAATCACAAAGATTTAGTTTTATAGTTTTCCTTAAAATGTTTGTAGAATTTTAATGTTTGAATTTAAATCTATGATCTACTTTGAGCTAACTTTTTATCACATGAGAAATGATTCGGAATTCA